AGGGTAGACACAAAACCTGACTCAAAGTTTACTGAAATCTTGAGGAAATGGGGAAATTAATAACCCAGATAATTATACAGAACATCTGGATTAAGAGGAGAGAGGTTTATAAAAGACAAAACAAAAATTCCCACACCACCAAAAACCCTAACTAATAAAAGACTGGTTTGGTTTTCCGGAGGTTTAAAACGCATTCCTAGATCCTAATGGCAAGTTTGTAAAATTTTAAACAAATTTTCAAGTTCAGTTTACAGTAATCAAGAGAAACATACAAAGATCTGCGACCAAGAGAGAAATGAAATACTGTCAAATAAGTACTCAACACAAAGTTATTATTTGCCTCATTTTTAGCAAGAAAAACATTAAGAAATGTGTACACTACGAGAAAAAAAATTTAGAAATTCTGGTGTAGCCGAGTCCTATAAATGTGCTCACTTCTGGCACTGCCAACATTTAATGTGTCTAATCACAAGAGTCAACCCACTGTAAAATGAAGACTCAAACAAATCATAGGCATTGACAAACAGTTTCCCAATTATTAGATTAAATGCCTACTCTATTCTTTACCCATATTTATATCCTGCAACCTCTACATTAAATTCTTTGTGCTTCATGTGCAAGCTGTTAAAGAACAGATGGACATTTTTCTTCCCAAAGAAAACAAAAACAGATTTTCTGGATTTAACCAGCCACCCGCAATGGTTTTCAGTAATACTGTAATTGATTCACACACAGGAAATGGTGTAATCAAGGATTTTTACACTTTGTCGCTATTTCTAATCAAGATGTTATCTTGCTCGATGAAGTGAATAATTTGGTGAACTCATTATTAGAATGGGAAGAGGTTTAATATAAACCCCCACCCTGTTCAATCTGGGCTTTTGTTAAAACAGGAATGGATAACTTCAAAATCAACGCTGTGATCAATTACAAATGTCTTGTAGCTAAACTATTAAATGATTTCTAGGATGTAAATCTTTAAATTTCTATAGACATACAAACTGAAGCTGCTTGTGTAGTAGTTCAAACTCTTTAATACTTACGTCTGTACGGAGAGCCTTAATATTCTTGCCTCCTTTTCCAATCACTGCCCCAGCATTCTGGAGAAGATACGAAGACAAAAAATTACTTTGTCTTTCCCTAAAATGAATGTCTACCCATGCTCACAGATTTCACTAAAAAATCCTCTAATCTGTTAGAAGAATAAAAATCTATTAGGGAATGTAAAAACGAACAGGCCAAAAACCACCCAAAAATCAAAATGTAATTCTAAGTGCTTTGAGAACTAAATAAGAATATTCAATGCCAGAAATACACCGAGTATAAAAATAAGACTAAGCACAGATTTTATATCCCCCTTTGATAAATCAAGTAGTATTAGTAGGTACCTTCATATTGTGACATGAGATGAAACAATAAAGTGCTAACAAAGAAACTTCCCAAGAAGTCCACACATAATTAAAATTTAATCTATTAACACTTTAAGAATCACACCCTAGGCCAGGAGTTCTGGCTCACGCCTGTAATCCCAGTACTTTGGGAGGATGAGGTGGGTGGATTTTGATGTCAGCAGTTTGAGACCAGCCTAACCAACACGGTCAAACCACGTCTCTACTAAAAAATATAAAAATTAGCTGGGCATGGTGACATTCCCTGTAATCCCAGCTACCTGGGAGGCTAAGGCAGGAAAACTGCTTGAACCCGGGAGGTAGAGGTTACAGTGAGCTGAGACAGTGCCACTGCACTCCAGCCTGGGCAATAGAGGGAGACTCTCTCTCAAAAAGAATCAAACCCTCCTCCTAGTTTGACCTGTAGTGGTTCACTACAAAGACTTTAATCTTAATTATTAGCGAAATAACAAAACCACCAGGGCCCTTCAAGTCTTTTTTAGAAAGAACCACAAACAAACATTTTCCGTTCTCCAATCTGTGTAAAACTTGGCTCTGATTTCTAGAGAGCCAAACCAGACTTTCTTAATTTCTACTTGAGCATGAACCACCTTCAAATTTTTAATAAAATGTATACCTTGCTCTGAAGCAGAATGCGTAATTCAACCATCTCATCAGTGTTTCTAGATCTTTTAAATGCTTGTTCCTCTTCCATATCTTCTGCAGGGCGTTTACCTAAAAATTAACAGTTCAGATTTCAAACAAAGTCTCCAATACAACTTCATTCTGTTTCAAAAGACTTGTTACTACTCTCAGGCATGTTTTAAAAAGGCCAAAGGCATTGTTATAGACTTGAACCTTATGCTTCCACCTTATAACATGCACCAAACACAAAGTACTTCGACGAAATACTTCAAAGGACTCGAAATACCAAAATGCAAGAAAAATTCTTTATGTGCAAGTCAGTTACTTCTACTTCATAAATAAAAGCTAAAATGTAACTGATAAATCGCAGAACGAAATCAAAATTACTTACATAAACAGTAATAGCACAACTTCACCACATACTCAAGGCAATATTAAATATTAGCAGAATATTGCTATATTAAAAAACAGTTAAAATTTCTTCTCACCAAATTCACCATTGGTTTCAGTGTTAGGGAAGGTTTCTTCTGGCTGTTCAGTTTCCATATTCTTGTATTAAATGGACACACCGATCTGTTGAAAAATAAAGAAGCTAGTACATCTGGCTTATTGGAAAGCAAGCTGAAAAAAGGAGACATTGCTTCTAGAACGTACCAGTTATTATATATTCTCGCAGAGCAGAACTGAAGTGTTCTGGGTTGGACCAACAACTGACACCCCAGTGCTGCAGTAGCCTGGAAGAACCAACACATACATCAGTTTTGCATTTATTCTTATTACTGAGTACTTGCTTCTGATTACAGCGAACACACACTGATTTGACCCCAAGAAACTAGCTATTTCTAAGACTTGATTCTTCATTTCAGGGTTTTACAATTCAAATGCCTAAAACAAAACTCAAGGGAGCCTTTTTGATTTTTTCTTAAGTTAGAACACTAACTTAGCCGCTGGATTAAGTTCCACCGCAGCAATGAATTGTTTTATATGGTACATTCACAAAATCCTGAAAAAATAAATATCATCCACAAAGCATGCGTTTATTTAAAGTTACAACGCATAAACTAATTTTATATTAAAACCTCTAACTGCTTTTCTATTTCTTTCGACTCATGCTTGAAGCGATCTTCTGTGACATCTCAAAAGTTTACAAACACAAAGGCAATCGCGAGTACATCCAACAACAACCAGAAAAACCGACAGGAGAGAGAAATCCAAAAATCTAATACAGGACCAGACCCAGCCTGCTACCACCAGCAGTCTACTATTCAGCGAAGCTAATGGAGTCCTTGAAAACTAACAGTCACTAGCGGACTATTTTAAATTAGGCTGAGAGTACAACCGACAATTAGGCCTGTAATACAAAAACTAGAGTCTGTGTGTCAGAACGGCCGATAGGACTGCAAACAGCCTTTCAAAGCTTCCCTCTTCTCGGGACTAAGAGTTGACAAGTGGCCTCTACTCGAAGGTTGGCTAGGCAGCAGAGCGCCAACAATCGAGGCACATTTATGCCTCCCATTCTCCGCACGGTTAACGGGTCGACTTACTGCTGTCCTAACAACTGAAACGACATCCTTTTGGCCCAGCAGTCACTCAACTTCTGAGGTGGTGGGAGAAGAGTTGGGTAAAGAAGTTAAGCAAAAACAGCAGGGTGTATCTGTAAGAACAACGCTGCCGCGTGCTGTTCACCCTTCGAGTCCTGCAGTCACCAGTCCCCAGGCCCCGAAAATCTCCTAGTTATGTGCCCGGCCGGACAAACGCAAACACGCCCTCCCCTCCGCGCCTCCCAGTACCGGGATCGCAAACAGCCGGGTAACTGGCCTGGAAAAAGCGAGAGTCGACAGCAGAAGCGCCGCACCTCTCCTCACCCGGATCCGACAGGAAATGGCGGCCCGCGTAATGGCGACTACGTGCTACAAGGCGGAGCCGAGCGACGACCCCCCCTCCCCCACCCACCACGCGGTCCCGAGGTCTCATCCCCCGCATCCTCCCCCCACCGCCCGAGACAAAGCCACCGAGGCAGCCCCGACCGTTCCATCCCGCCGCTCCAGTTCCGACCCTGGGCCGGGAGACCCAAGGTGAGGCGGGGCCCACACAAAGAGAGCGGCGGCGCGGCCTTCTCCCCCCGCCGGCCTTCTTTCCTCCACGAGGTTCCTAGTTCCCAGTGCCGTATAACTCCAGTTCATCCTAAAGGCAAATGCCTCGCCAATGCCCTAAGTCTCTGCGACCACAACGCGGACTGCGGATACATGCTCAGGGAAATGGCGGAGGTGGGGGAGGGGACACCGGGCAACGTTCCCACTCGGAGAAGCGGCCAACCACCAAACCGGCCCCCAGAACGCCTCCCTCAAAAAGAAAAACTGGCCTCCGACCCTCACCTCCACAAGTCGCTCCCCCAACCTGGCTTCTCAGCGCGCGAGGCCGCCGTCACTCCGCCGCGCCGCCTCAGCCGGTCGGAGCTAGACAGAAAACGAGCGCAGACTCCCCTCCCCCGCCTTCTCGCGTCCTCCCCGCCGTCGCGCCCGATTGGCTGCTAGGGCTTCAGCGATGGTGCGAGGTCGAAGCGATTGGCCCAAGGCCACGTCAATCAAGGCGACGGAGGAGGCGACAACCCCGCCTCCCGCCAGCGCCTCCTTTCGGGCTCTGAGGCCAAGGGCTCGAGAAAACCCGGGCTTGGGAAAAGTCAACGCAGCCTTTCAGGGAGGCCAGACCCTTGCCAGAATCAGAAATACCCAAGCTCCAATAACTCCAATTACCTATAGGCCGCGAACAAGTGGGACACAGGCAAGACGTCGAGGTCGGTGCGGCAGAGAAACAGAGGATAATGGCGTCTGCGGTGCCGTCGCCTGGAACGCCCTCCTCCTTTCTCGTTCGCGCACTCACTAGCTGGGGGGAGGGGCGGTTAGGGGGCGAACCTCTCGCGAGATCTAACAACCGCCTAGTTCACGCGCACAGGGAGGGGGCGGGGAAGGGGCGTTTTTCTGGGCCCGGAGGAGTCCTTTGGGGTTAGAGGAGGGGCTCCGGCGCGCGGGAAATCGGGCGGGAAGAGACAAAAAAGGATCAGGGAGCGTGCCGCGGCGATTCCTGTTCTTACAGTTGCGCGGCGCAAGGACCGCTGTTGCGCGAGGGGAGTGCGGGACGCCCAGGTCGGTGCTCGGCCCAGACTTAACGCCCCTGTTTCCACAGCGCACACTCGCGCCGGCAGCCCCTTACCCCGCCCCGGGCCGTGGGCTCCGGGGCGAGCCGCGCCGCGGTAAGTGCGGGCCGCCTGCGTCCGCTGGGCCCGGCCGTCGCTTCGGAAACCCGCTGTTTGTAACGGTCCGGGGCGCGGGTCAGCGGAGGCCGGGCCCGGGGGCACAGCTGGCGGTTCTCCGCCCGCCTTGCGCTGGGGCGGGAGCCGGGGAAACGCGGGGCGAGCCTGGGTCCTGGAGAACTTCTCGCCTTTGGCTTTGCCCCTGATTGAGGACGCCCGAGAGGGCACAAGCGGTTCCACAGGGCTCTCCGTTCCGACGAGACTTTCCTCTCGGGTAATGGGGCCCGAGATGGAACTATTTTGTAGTGTCGTCGCTGTAGTTTATCCTGAGAAAAATTTTAGGCAGTAAATATCGCACTGGTCTCCTAAAATGAACGCATATCGCTACATATGTTGCAGACTTTCACATTCCATTCAAAGCGCCTGCCTTGGTGTGGCAGTGATAAAAACGGACAAAAACCCTCGCCCTCAAACGTGCTCCCGTTCCGGCGGGTTCCGTTCACACCTGAATTGTATACGGTTCCTTCTCAGGCCGCTTTGCCAACCTTTCGTGACTTCCTTTGTGAAGGCACATGAGGTCACTTTCCATCGGTGACAACCTTGGGAAATCTCCAGCCCTGGGAATACCCGCTTTCCACATCCTCACTTGTCAACCTTCCAGCCTCCGCCCACAGTCCCAAACTCATTTTGAAGCATAAAGATGTTATAATCTGCACATAAAGCGAAATCCACCATTGGCAGAATACATTCATATATATTTTAGAGGTGATGAATTTGTGCTTATTCATTCCTGTTATAATGTTTCCTTGGGTAATTTGCAAAATATGTATATCAGCATTCTTTTAAATGGTCATGATTGCATTCATCCAGCATCTTTTACTTGCCTGATTAGAGGAAAACTCTTGCTAGGGTGCACTGAGGACTTCATGATAAACACCGGTATTTACGTCCTGAGAGGATATGTTAAATGTCTGGGATTGTGGAGTTTGTAAAAGTTCTCTTTGGTAGTATGTTTTAAATGGTCCCCACCATGAAGTGTGTATAGTCTTGTTGGGTAGGTAAAACTTAACTCACATTTTAGTTCTAAAACACAAAGTTGGAATTTTATTAAATATTCAAAATTGAGTTTATGTAGGGGTCGAGGATGCTTACATCATAGAGATTTAATCCGCCAGTTAGGCTTTGCAACATTTAATTGAGTTTGTCATTGAAAACTTGGACATGTCACTAACACTAATAGGCACAAATAGCAGTACTGTAGTAATGATGCTGTGCTTTCTTTCAAGTTAGTATTTGTGTTGCGGTCATCATTTTCTTCTTGGTAAGCAGTGATGAGTGGGAAGCAGAGGTAAGCAGCTCTATATAGGAACCTCTTCCTCCCAATTTCATTGGCCGAATTGGACCCCGACTGGTGTAAGCTATTATTCATCCTCTCAAGATACCTTTGTTAGATGGTTGCTGTTTTTTCCCCATTTGATTTCTTCCTTCTTCTAATTTAATTTTTAGGCTTGTTCTTTAAATAACAGGAAAGTCTGTCTTTTCTCCATCCTTTTATTCTGTTTGAAATTAATAAGAGTTTTCAACCCAACAATTTTATACGTGTGTGCATTCAAGAACTTACCAGTACATTCATTGGCTCTAGTCTTGTGTAATTGGTACAACGGTGTAATGGCGTAGGATAATTTTGGACTCAGTGAATTTAAACCAAATATTACTTAGATGTGGGATTTGCTTTAGATAGGCTAATGTAATTGAGATTGTACACTAGCCAGCCGCATTATTGTTTATTATTTATAACTACCATTTCCTGAGTTCCCAACTGTATGCTAAACCTTGTGCTGGCAGTTTAATACTTTTTAGAGTCCTTTGAGTAAGTTGTTATCTTTTTTTATGGATGAAGGAACTAATACTAAGAGAAGCTGAGGAACATATCCAAGGTCACATAGCAAAATTGGGTTTCAGATCCTAAACCTATTCTCTTTTTGTCTTTTCCTACCTTAGGTTATGGAGGATCCACAAAAAGCTCCCCTGATTACTTCTTAATGATTTCAGTCATAAACAATATAAATTTTTCCTCTCTGATTTTCAGAGTATCTTCTTAAAAATTCCAGGGTTACCTTGAAATCATCCTCAATGAATTAAAATGTAGACTTACCTTATTTAGATGAATACAATGGAAATGTGGAGAGATTTAAATATTTGTTAGTGCTTTTAAGTCTCAGCTGTTGTCTGAATGACACATATAACGTCCAAAAGGATGACACACCTGCCTTACTTTCTATTTAAAAAATTGGAATATGCGAGGCTGACTGAAATTAATCTGTAAATCAAATATGCCTAGACCTTAATGGTAGATGATAAAATTTTCCCACTTTATTCTCTTCTGTTCAGTTCCTGGCAGTCCAGATCTAGAATGTAGATTAGTGTGGTTGGCCAAGTTTATCATTGACACAGTGCTAATCAGCTTTCCTAAAAATGTTTTTTCCTGATGATAAAATTAATGGGGATTAAACTGTATGTAATTTTGTATCTGTTCTTTTTCCCAAACAATATGAATGTATTTCTATGTCATTAATTCTTAAAAATGGTTTCTTTAAAGATTTCATTGCTTTTCATTTCATGGTGGCAGTACAAGGTATTTAACTTTTCCAATTTTGAACATTTTGTTTGTTTTTTTCAAAATATAAAAACTTAGTGGTAAACACTCTGCCATACAAATCTTTGTCTTTATTTTGTTACTTATTGATGCATAAAAGATGTACATAATTTTGGGGGGTACATGTGATAATTTAATATATTCATTTAATTTGTAAAGATCAAATCACAGTACTTGGGATATTATCTCCTTAAACATATGGGTTTTTGGGGCCTTATTTATGATTGTGTCCTTAATTCTGGAAGGTAAAGAAGTGGATCATATGGTATGAACATATTCTTTTTTTCATTTTTTGGAAGGGACAGAGTTTTGCCCTTCTGGCCAAGCTGGACTGCAGTGGTGCAGTCTTGACTCACTACAACTTCCACCTCCCTGGTTCAAGTGATTCTCCTGCCTCAGCCTCTCAAGTAGCTGGGATTACAGGAATGTGCCACCACACTCAGCTAATTTTTTTGTATTTTAGTCAACTCGGCCTCCCAAAGTACTGGGATTACAGGCATATGCCACTGCGCCTGGTCTTGAACGTATCTTAATGTACAATTTAAAATACATCTTTCCAAATTTATTATTATTTTTTGGACAGTGGAGTTCTTTAGGATCAAAGAGCTGTTCTTTGTACATTAGCACATGGGAATTTGTGCCGCCCAAGCTAACTTTCTGCCTCTGAATTTGTGCTTCTACCTGCTGTGACTATGGTTACCCAATTTCCTAGGCAAAGGAGAGATGAAAACCTTATGAATTTTTCTGAAGGACTAGATGCCGTTAATATAATTTACCAAATTATTAAAGGTCTCAATTATTAATATCTAGTCTAAACTTTATAATATGCATCTTAGATAATATTTTTCCATTTGATTAAACATTTTAATAAACTTTTCTTTCTTTTTTTTTTTTTTTTTTTTTTTTTTTTTTTGAGACGGAGTTTCGCTCTCGTTACCCAGGCTGGAGTGCAATGGCACGATCTCGGCTCACCGCAACCTCCGCCTCCTGGGTTCAGGCAATTCTCCTGCCTCAGCCTCCTGAGTAGCTGGGATTATAGGCACGCGCCACCATGCCCAGCTAATTTTTTGTATTTTTAGTAGAGACGGGGTTTCACCATGTTGACCAGGTTGGTCTCGATCTCTCGACCTTGTGATCCACCCGCCTCGGCCTCCCAAAGTGCTGGGATTACAGGCTTGAGCCACCGCGCCCGGCCAATAAACTTTTCTTTCTAATCTGTCGGAAAAATAACCTATTATACATCATCTTTTTATAATTAAGACATGCAATTGTAGGAATTATATCCGTGTCCTAGATCAATCCTACTTTCTACTTTACTTTGCTGTTAAGTGAGGAAATCTGTGTAACAGATGTACATTAGCAGTCATCTTATTCCCACAAAGTTCTTGACTTTTTGGTAAAATATTTGGGAATAGTTGTATTGGAATGTTTGCACAGTGTTAAGTATCTCATCACATTTGCATTTGTTTTACAGATGTCTTGGTTATCTTTTGGGGGCTTAGTCATGAATTTTTTTCTTTGCTTAGTTATAACATTACTATAAATGTACAGTATGTCAGTTAGCTTCAGAAGTTGAGGGTAGTACTTAGAGTTATTAATTAGGACTGACGTACATTTAATGGAACAGTTAAGTTGTTGGGATTCACTGAGCAGTGTTTTTCAGAATTCATCCCAACTCTTGACTGAAAGGAGTTTTGCCACTTGCAGTGTTCAATAGCACATACAAGAAAGAGCCAAGTTTGGAATTAAAAAAATTTAAAAATTGATACATAGCCTTAGAATATCAGTTTGTAGTATTCAGAAAAAAGTAAAAAATATTTTATGTGGTATGTTAGTAGAGTTATAGTGAAAGGAAAAGTAGTACTTAACCATAGCACTATGTCAAAGTTATCACTAAGATAAATACAGTAGGTGTTGGTGATTCTTTTGAATTTTTCTTTCATTTGATTTTGTAAATGAAACAATTTAGAGTGCATTAGACGAGCTTGTTATTTACATGAGATCTGAGAAGTCTGTTTATTATAGTAGCAGCAAACCACTCTTACAGAATGGCCGTTTAGATGTGGATTTTATACATAAGTGGATTTTATAGATGAATTGAAAGACTGGTTTTGCTTCCCCTTTCTGTTAATTGAAGTTGACAGAAAAAGGTATAGGAATGGAGATTAGCAGAATTTATGTTCTAGTTCTGGGTCTGCTGCTGGGTATGATGTTTATGCCTTAATCTTCATGCTTCA